CAGCCTGCCTCGCCCCCTGGTGGGCTGAGCTGGCCACACACACACACAAATATAAATAAATAAATAAAAATTAAAAAAAAAATTTACTCTAACAATAACTGCGAATGTCACTAACTCTCATAATCCCTCTTCCATTTTGGTGGTAAAAATGTGAACTTAAAAGTAAAAAATAGAGCCGGGTGGGCAGAGGGGGCGGTGGCGTGGGAGCCGGCGAAGTTTGGCGACCCGGCCAGTGCTAAGATCCCGAGCCGGGCTCGACGCTGGAGACCCAGGGGGCGCGCGGACAGGTTCACTGACATCCCCGGGCCCGCAGCTGTTGTCTCGCGAAGCATCCTCTTTTCTGGAAGTGTTTAAGCTTCTAAAATGTCATCAATCAAGCACCTAGTTTATGCAGTTATTCGTTTCTTATGGGAACAAAGTCAAATGGATGCTTATACTTCTGATGAACAAGAAAGTTTGGAAGTTGCAATTCAGTGCCTGGAGACGGTTTTTAAGATCAGCCCGGAAGATACACATCTAGCAGTTTCACAGCCTTTGACAGAAATATTCACAAATTCTTTCTGTAAGAATGACATTTCGCCACTCTCAAACTTAGTGCCCGAAGATGTAGGAAAAGCTGACCAATTAAAAGATGAAGGCAATAACCACATGAAAGAAGAAAATTATGCTGCTGCAGTGGATTGTTATACACAGGCCATAGAACTGGATCCCAATAACGCAGTTTATTATTGCAACAGGGCTGCTGCACAGAGCAAGTTAAGTCACTACACAGATGCAATAAAAGATTGTGAAAAAGCTATAGCAATTGATTCAAAGTACAGCAAGGCCTATGGGAGGATGGGGCTGGCCCTTACTGCTATGAATAAATTTGAAGAAGCAGTTAGAAGTTATCAAAAGGCATTAGATCTTGACTCTGAAAATGATTCTTATAAATCAAATCTGAAAATAGCAGAACAGAAATTAAGAGAGACAGGAACTGGATTGAGCTTTGACATGGCCAGCTTGATAAATAATCCAGCTTTCATTAGTATGGCAGCAAGTTTAATGCAGAACCCTCAAGTTCAACAGCTCATGTCAGGAATGATGACAAATGCCACTGGGGGACCTGCTGCTGGAGTTGGGGGCCTAACTGACCTGTCTAGTCTCATCCAAGCGGGACAGCAATTTGCTCAGCAGACACAGCAACAGAATCCTGAACTTATAGAGCAACTGAGAAATCACATCCGGAGCAGATCATTCAGCAGCAGCCCTGAAGAACATTCCTGATCAGGGATGTTCGCTCAGGATGAAAATGGTTTATGGCTCCGAAGTAGTCAGTGTAGATCATAGCCAAATGCAAAATGAAACAAAACAACAAGAAAAAAAGCACCAAAATAATGGAGGAAAACCTCTTGTGTGTATTCCTAAAGAGCAAATCTGTTTAGAAAATAGGTTTATCACAGAGACTGGAACATAACTCCTCTGGAAATGAATGGTCATAAGCCTTTTTAAGTGCCAGTATGACACTCGGACAAGGTTCCATCCATTTCTGATCTTTTATCATATTTGTACATTAGAGTTAATAGCAGAGTATATTTATTGAATTGTAGCACTGTTCACTGGTGACTCCTTTAGCTTCAAGTTCCCCTAAGCAAAGTTTTTTTGGGAGGGGAGATGAGGGGAAAGGTTTGTCATACTGGTTTAGAGGAAATACTGAGCAGCATGTCAAGAGAGAAGAAATGTATTATTTCAGTTTAACTTTGATAAGTACAGTCAATAATGAATATGTATCAGAAATGCCAGTACTATCTTTAATGCTCTTTCTTCTGATGAGTGACAGGGAATCTTAAGGGCTGGTAGAAAGTAGATTTTGGTGCAGTAGATATTTTGAAGAGGAAAAATAGAGAATGTGAAAGTACAGGAAATAAAGGTAAGGTAGGGTGCTCAGGTTTTTTGCAGTTCTAAGCAATCTTGTCTGTAGTTTTGATAACATTAGCATGGCCAGTTATGCTAAGTACATAATAAAATACATTTAGAAGTCCTTAATGGTACTGGTTAGGTCAGTGATATAACTTTAACTTCATTACCACAATTTCCCTGGTTACAAACTTACCTCAGAAACTACCAAATATATCTAATTAGCACACAAAGCCAGTGGCTTGACCCTAAGTTAAGGATCTTCTAAGGGGAATTCAATTATGTGCTCATAATCATTGATTTAAAAAAATATAATTAGCTGATGGTTAAAAAAAAAATCACTTACGTTGTTTGTCCATATAATCCTCTGGTATAATTTAGCATGCAGTGTACCAGTCTTATGCTTAACCTTAATTTGATGCAATTTAAACATGGGATTTAAAATATTTTATTATGAATTAGATGCCATATTGGTCAGTGGATGATAATGACATGGCTGAAGAATAATGATGGATGAGAGCTAATTCCAACTGAAGTTTCTTGTTCATTAATCATGAAATTGGTGAATTGAGGTTAGCATGTAATGATTTTACAAGTGTTGTGAAGGAAAACTGAAAACAAAGTAAGATGAATCAGTAAAGATGTAATAAGAGACTCAAAAAAAAAAAAGTAAAAAATACAAGAGTGGTGGTGTACACCTGTAATCCCAGCACTCAGGATACTGAGGCAGGAGGATTACCATGAATTCAAGCCAGACTCAACCACATAGTGAGTTCAAAGTCAGTTTGAACTGCACAGTGAGCCCTGTCTCAAAAAAAAAGGGTGATCTTACATTTGATTTTAAAGATGTATAATAATAATCCAAAGACCTAGCTGTGCATGGTGGCACATGCCTGGAATCCCAGCATGCTGAAAACTGAAGTAAGAGGATTGCTGTGAATTTGAGGCTAGCCTGGGCTATAAATTGAGTTCAAGGGAAGCCTGAAATACTGAGCAAGACCTTGTCTCACAGAAAAGAGCTATAAAAATCCAAAGGCCTATTTTGAAAATGGATGCCCATCAGCCCTCTGCTATTAGTTTTACCTGCCACATTAAGTCAAGAAACACCTGAACTATCAACATTTTTCTAATTACTGGAGAAAGGGAAATAACAGACAAATAAAATTACTCAAGTCAATCAAAGACATAACTCAAGAGCAGAAACAAGTGGGAGGTAAAAAGAATTGTACTAGGCCACCTTAAATGGAGAAACAGAAATGGAATCAGGAAGGCTTAACATCTGAGAGTAGGCTGGTGAAAATAACTGGCTAAGGGAATAAACTACCTGTTAATTATTTACCTATATGTAAGTGGCAAGCTACTACAGGGCAGGAAACAATGTGCAACCAACCTGAGAAATGGCTTATCATAAGAAGGGCAGTAGATAAAATGGTTAGGAGCGCAGACTCTGAAATCAGAAATACCTCAATTCAAATTCTGCATTACTTAGTGAGAAGTTAATTTGCTCATTTGTAGGATTAGTACAGGGATTTAATAGAACATAATTACGTGAAATAAATCAGCCTAGCATGTGTAAGACCATGTGTCTGATCCCTATAATGACAAAAAGAAAAAACGACCTACAAAACAATGAAAATGTTTTAGAAATAAAGTATCTTAGGAAAATAAATCTAACAAAAAAAATTCACAATAGGTAGCCTGGCCAAAGGACACATACACATATACATCAAAAGAGTTTAAACAGGCTTTCCACCTGTCATCTGGCTATTAGGGGACTGAAAAGGGTAGTTAGGGAGACTAATAGACAACTACAGATAAAAGACAGAGAGACACACAAGGCAACCAGAATGACCAAAGTTTGTCTTTTGTTCATATTAAACAGCTTTAAATATAACACAAGGAGCCCTAAATATTAAAGAAAAAATTTTGCATTTGTATTTTATTACCAAATAAGACAAGCACAAATATGATATTTTCCTACTGAATTTCCTGAAAGACATCATGAAACTTAACTCCATGTAGACACACACCACTGGAAATGGAAAGGGCAGTCTGCGGAGGGGTGGTGAAAAGAAATGCAACAGGGGTAAGATGAATGCCTTCACACTGCCAGAATATTCTGCAGAAGCAGTAAAGTACCTACGATGATGTCGGAACTACTCACTCAACAAACACAATAAGGTAGTGCTGCTTAATTTCCTTTAACAGTCTCTTATTCAACCACTCACCAACCACAAAATACCTTCTAGGCATCAACCATGGCCAGGCATTGTTTAGGCACTAGGGATACAAAGTAAACAAAATTAAGTCTCTGCCCTCAAAGAGACATTCTAATCTGAGAGCAGAGGTAAAGGACCCTAATACACAAGAACAGCTATCTTCCCCTGACTGGTTACCACTCCCTCCTTTTGCTGTTACTGCTTGCATTTGGCTGTTCACCTGACAGGTGAGACCACCCAGACACTTTGGGCTCACTTTCCTGCTAAAATCTAATCTTAAAAAGAAATGCTAATTTTAAGGAATATCATTAAAATATAAAAAGAATTACTAGAAAAGGTCACTAACTCAATGGCAGAAATTATGAGAATTCTGATATATTAACTTAATTGAATTATGAATCAAGCAGATTAAAAAAGCATACTCCTGGGTGTATCTAGGTAGGCCATGGAAGTATAACCTTGGGTACTATAAATTGTCCCCTGCATTCCTATCTGGCACTGTTCTCTCCTGTGCTTTCCAACTGAAATGAGGTGAGCAGCCTTGTTCCACCATGATCTTTTTTTTTAGTTTAGTTTTTTTTTTTTTAAATGTATTTTGTGGGGCTGGTGAGAGATGGCTCAGTGGTCTAAAGCACCTACTTAGAACAAGCTTAGCAAAGCACAGGGACCATGGTTCAATCCCCCAGCACCACATGCCAGCCAGCCCCGCCCCCTGGTGGGCTGAGCTGGCCACACACACACACACACATAAATAAAATTTTAAAAAAGAAAAAAAAATTAAATATATTTTGTGCAGGGTCTTACTGCCCAGCTTGCTCACAGTGATCACCCTGTTTTCAGCCTCCCCAACACTGGTACTACAGGCATGCGCCACCACACCTGGTCTCTGTGGCTGGCTCAGTGCTCCTGGGTGTGGGGCCAGTGCTACATGTGGTGCTAGGGATCAAACCTGCACTCGCCTACACAGGTGCTTAGTCCACTAACACTATGATCTTGTACCATTATGTTCCTACCTTGGAGCCAGATGACCTTAGACTGAATTCTCTAAGCCAAGTTAAATAAGTCATGAGCGTTGGGTATTTTGTCTCAGTTATAAGAAGCTGACATTGTGTTAGTGCTTGGCAGACATATCTTCATTTAACATTTGTGGCAATGTGGAAATAGGAGTATTGGCTGAGAAAACAAACTAAAGCTCATTAAGATGGCAATAACTACTGGTCATTTATAATATGCCAAGAACTGCATTTTGTACTTTAACATACAGGTATACTAGTTCATTTATTTCATCTGCATAATAACTATAGTGTATGTAGTATTAGGATCTTTGCACTAACAATGAGGAAGCTGAGACCTCTGGTAACCCTATTTGAGGCTACACTAGTAAATGGTGGCCCAAGATCCTATCCCTCTTCTGCATTCTTCCCATCACACAGACATTCATCTGGATCCTTTCAGAAACTAGTGCACATTCTTACAGAAACTAACACACACCTCACCTCAATCTGATCGATTTTCACTTCCTTGTATGCTTTCTTCATTTCCTTTACTCCCTGTTTCATAGCATCCACCTAAAAGAAAAAAAACAAAACCACAGTATCCTAAAAAGTCATGTTTTTTTTTTTACTTTCTTAAAAAAACAAGGAAAAAAAAAGGATAAATGTGGGAAAAAAAGGAAAGAAATGCTTTGGGATACCGTGGTCTTGGTGTCCTTCAGTGACTGGATGGTATAGTTGGCTTGTTCCATGTTAAAAGACTGTTGGGCAAGGTTGTCCCGCTGCTGTTCATACCTTTTTAAGAGTTAATTGAGAAAGGTAAATATGAACCAGACAGAAATCTTCAGAAAGCACCTTTAATACCAAATAGAATGTTAATAAAACAAAGGACTAAAATCCTTAACAATTAATTCCTCTTTGTCTCTCCAGATTTTTCTCTGCATTTTAAAACACCAGTTTTATACTTTCTATTGAATAATATATTATTCATTTTTTCCTATGTTGCTATTTATTTTTCTGTGAGTCTGACTAGGAATTAAACCCAGGGCCTTATGACACTAGGCAAGTACTCTATCACTGAGCTATATCCTTAACCCCCCCCCCCTCCTTTTTATGTGTGTCATACTGGGGACTGCAGAGCCTTCACACTGGACTTAAATCACAGCCCTTTTACAATTTTATTTTGAGACAGGATCTCACTAAGTTGCCAAGCCTGGGCTAACATTTGTGATCCTTCTGCTTCAGCTTCTTAAGTGCTGGTATTACAGGCATGTGGCACCATACCTGACTTTTTCCCCCTAGTACTAGGAACTGAACTAAGGACTTCTGCAGGAAGCTATATTCCCAGCACTTTCATTTTCAGACAGGGTCTCACTAAGTTGTTAAATTGCTGTCTGGCATGGAATTTGTAATCCTTCTCAACCACCCCACAGTCCTGGGATTACAGGTATGTGCCATCCTGTCCAGCTCCCCCCCTTTTTTTTTAGAGATAAAGTCTCACTTACATTGCCTATGCTGGCCTCTAACTCTTAATCCTCTTGCCTCAGCTTCCTGATAACTGGGATTACTCATGGTAGTGAGCTAGCAGGCCCAGATTATCAGAAATAAGAGTACTTGGAGCATAAGAGCATTTGTTAGCTTCTTCATATAAGCATTTTTCTAGTAGATGGAACTCCATTTCTCGTTTATTTTGGTTTTTGAGATAAGTTCTCCCTATTTAGTTTAAGCCAGCCTCTAACTCCATAGGTAGTCCTGGATGGTCTTGAACTCAAAATCCTCCTATCTTTGTCTCTAAAATGCACTCCTTTGAGAGGTTTCATTAACCTTGTACCCATAATTAGGCCACCTGGCAATATGTCTTGTGCTTAAAATGTTCTTTAAAACAAAGTTTTGGGGACAGGGAGATAGTTCAATAGCATAAATGCCAGCCTGGCAAGCACAAGGTCCTGAGTTCAATCCCTAGTACAAAACAAAAACAAAACAAAGAAAGCCAACCAACCAAACAAGCAACAAAACCCCTCAAAATGTTATGTCAAATCATATACTATTTCAATGATCGATGTCACTATGGTATCCAATCAGAAGGAAAATGGTCAATTCATAATACAGGCACATGGTAGATTATTATGTAAAAAATATAGAGCTTTTACAGAATAGTTACAAGGACAGGAAAATGCTCAAGATATAAAATTAAATGGAAAGCCTGGTGTGGTGGTGCATGCCTGTAATCCTACCACTTGGGAGACTGAGGCAAAAGGATCACCATTAGTTCAAGGCCAGCTTCGGCTACGTAGTGAGTTCAAAGACAACCTGAACTACATAGTGAGAACTAGTCTCAAATAAATAAATAAATAAATAAAACAAAACAGAAAAACCCAAACCAAACAAAAATTAAATGGGAAGAATGACTTATATATTAGTAAATATAATTTGTTTTCCTTTAAAAAGTTAGATGTACACATACATATGTGTTACATGTATACAAACCAGAGAAAAGAAATTAGTATTTTAAAGGTTATTTCTAGAAGTAGGAATCCAGGTGACCTTTTTTCCTTCCACTTATGTTTATGTATTTTTCAAATTTCTATGATGAACATGTATTCCTTTTTTGGTATTCTTTTCATAACAAAAAAACCCCACTTAAAATATTAAACTAAGCACATATGGCTACTTAAACATAAATCATGTATTTTAAAATATTTAATTGGGGGCCGGAGGGATGGCTCAGTGGAATAAGCACTTCCCTGGCAAGCGCAAGGGCCTGAGTTCAATCCCTGGTTCCACAAAATAAATAAATAAATAAATAAAATAAATAAAAATAAAATATTTAATTGGTATGCAGTGGTACCAATTAAGATTACTACATTTGCCACATTCTCACAATAGGCCTGATTTCTTTTTCCAATGTGATATAATCTAAAGGAAGATGCCAATGTATTATAAAAAGTCCCTTAAAAATTGGAATACAGAGAGCAACAGTTTTTTGGTTCCGCATTAGCTGATTCCACTTGACCATCACAACCTTGCAGATGATCTCATCAGCTGAGAAGTTCTCAAGGATGAGTACCAAAGAAATTATCTGGCTTCTCTCAACACTGGGACACAGTCACCCCCCAAAAATTAAAGACCCTTAAATCTATTCTGGTGAAGCCGGAATGGCAACACACACCTGTACTCCCATCTACATGGGATGCTGAGGCGGGAGACTCATAAGTTCAAGACCAGCCCAGGCAACTTGACAGGATCCTGTCCCAAAATAAAAGGGCTAAAGTGAGCTAGATGTGGTGGCACATACTTATAATAGTATCATCCAGAAGGCTGAAGCAGGAAAATTACATGTTTAGTGCCAGCCCTGGACTACACACACTATTTCAACAAAAAGATGGGGAGGGTGTAGCTCAGTGGATTAATACTTGCCTAGCATTCAAGAGGCCTTGAGTTCAATCCTCAGCAATGTAATTTTAAAAATAAAAAAAGCATCCTTGTGAGTAGGAATAAATATTTAGCACTCTTAGTTTTACAAACAAAACTAAAAAAAGATATACTAACTAAATAATGGAAGAACCTAATCATATAGATCTGGCCAATCCAAAATAGTAGTCCCTAAGCACATATGGCTACTTAAACATAAAGTTAAAGAAGTAAAATTAAAATTTCAGTTTCTTAGTCATATTCACCACATTTCAAGTGCCCAATAGCCACATGTAGCTAATAGCTATTGGTTCAGACATACAGACACAGAATATCTCCACTGTAGCAAAAAATTCTAGTTAGACAAGACAATGCTACCACAGACATTGTTGCTGTATATGTTGAGGACAAGGGAAAGCCAGTTCATTGTATGTAATTACATTAATGAAAGTTTTTAATCTTATCAAGAATGTTTAGAGAATGGTATATAAAAAACTGATGGGTTTCCCTTCAGTTAAAGCTGCTAGAGGGAAGGAGATCATTCACATAACTTACATCCGCTTTTGTTTTAAAACTCGCAAGGCTTTCTGCTTGACCATATTCTGAGGAGAAAAACAGATTTAATTTTTTTAAAAAGTAGAAAACATGCATATGTAAAGGAAATCTCCCATATCCTCAACTTACATGCCTACTTTCTTCTTCAGAGTAGTAGCTTCTGGATTCTGTTCACAGATATCGCTGATGTCTAGTCTTTAAGCCTTAGTGCCTGTCTGTCCTTGCATCCCACATTTCAGTGTCCTAATCTACTTGCCCTTTCCCTAATACATAATATCTCCACTTTTATCCCAGCAGAGCCCAACTTCAACATGTCCAGAATTTTCAATCTTTTTTTGGACAGAGACTTGGTATGCATTTCAGCGTTGAACTCATTATGTAGCTCAGGCTGGCCTTAAACTCAAGCAACCCTTCCAGCCTCAGCCTCCCAAGTGATGGGATAACGGGCATGCACCACCATGCCTGGCCCAGACTCTTTAATCTTACCTCACCTTGGAAATGCCTAAGTATGGCCCCAACAACCTCTTCTGGTTGAGAACACTTATAATGAACTTGTCCTTCCGCTCTGTTTTTACTGAATTTCAAACAATTCTTTTGTCTTTTAAACTGACTCTTTTTATGTCACGCTCATAAGTACTAATCATGGTGTGGACTTTTATTTCAAGTCTAGATTAGCTTTCTTGTCACTGTTCTTTGTACCACATCATCAGTGAAGGTTGCTGGAAGAAGTCTTTCCTTTCTTTTCCTTTCATTTTGCAAGAGAGGAGAATGAATCGAAACACTTTACACTTAGCTATTTCTCCAGTCTTTTCTTCTTGTTTGAGACCAGATCTTGCTAAGTTGCCTAGGCTAGGCCTAAACTTATGAACCTCTTTTTTTCAACCTTCCAGAGTGCTAAGATTACAGGTGTGTGCCATCATACCTGGTGCCTTCCCTTTCTATAATGTTCCACATTGTTTTATTTGTCTCCTCCAATAGGAAAATCCAGTTGTTATTATCTTCCGAGTGATACCTAGTAGTTATTGAATGATACTATGTTTTAGATTTAGTGCTCTATATTACATGAATTATTGCACTTAGTCCTCACAGTATAAAATACATATTACCCCCTTTTGTACATGTGCTGCTGAAGCAAGCACCATATTATACCCTTTTGCAGATGGCAAAATTGAGGTTCAGTAATGCCTGGCTCACGTGGATAATAAATTGTGGAATTGGAAAAGTTAAGATGGTTCTATATCTAGTCTTTGTGCTTAATTACTTTATGCTCCTACTTAACAGAAGCAGAAAATAGGTAGTCATAGTGACAGCACTAGAACACTGTTCCCACATGCCTAATTCAGTACTTTTTCCCAATGAGCCACTCCATAACCAGTCAATATCTACCTAACCTGACTGGCCTGGAGTTGTGAGCTCCACCTAGCCCTTCTCTCTCGATTATAACCTCAGTAGAACATGCTCATTCTATGCTTCTGGACATGTGATCAGCACCTTCTGTTAACCAAATCAAACCAAGCCACCCTTTTATATCTGACTGCAAACTCTTCTCCCTGAAGGATACATCTCCATGCATTTTTTCTCTTTAACAGACAATATGCCTTTCATATTTGTTACCAACCCATCGCCAGGCCCTATTCCTATAAGTGCTTCTGCAGCAACTGCTGCCTATTTTACCTTTGCAGGACCCTCTCTCATCTTCTTGATTTGATCCTTGTACTTCACTAGCTCAGCGTCCAGCCGGGAAATTTTCTTATCAATAGATTCTGCCCTGCTGTCCACCTTGGGGAGAATCGGAAACCAGCAGTAATTAGTTACTGCATTAATTTACATGGGGAGAAGCAGGGCAGGAATATGAGAAACAAAACAAAACTAAACTGAACAGGCCAATGAGGTGTAAGATAATTCCTTTGGGAGCTTCTACAAACTGTTCTTTCTCCCAGATTCTGATATACCAGGTACCCCTCAAGAGTGAAGTAAAAAGTAATTTATCACTAGGCTAAGTTGAGATCTCCCAATAACCAAAGACTCGTCAGACTGGGGGCTCAGTAGACACCGGCTAAAAGTTGCACTGATGCTATGTCCTAGTGTAAGGGTGGTGGCTTAATCTGAGGGCACAAGGTTTTGAATTTTGTGTTACTATGACTCAGGGCTAAGGTACAGATACGTTGACTTAGGGTACCACAGAAAAGGCCTGATGTGGATGAGGAATGAAAGACGGAAAGGGGGTAAAAGATTGGGCTGGGCAAGGTGGGAAGGGCATAGGGGCCTCGGGTAGGTTGGGGTGAGAGGACCAAGGCGAGAGCAGACACAGCAATGGACATCAGAACGGGCTGAGCGAAGGTAGCTTGAGCTATTGATGAGGCAGAGGGTCTCCGGTTTGTGGCTTCGGGAATTGGGAGATAGGAGTGATAGGACGTGGGGGCGGCTGGAGAGGACAGATTTGTAATGGGCCAGGTACAAGGAATGGAATGGAGTAGCAGCCCGGGGACACGGGTGGGCGGGGTCGGGAGTGTCCGAGGCCCGGGGTCTTGTTTTCTAGTCAAATGCCTACCGTGCCAATGCAGTCAGTCAGGCTGGGCGGCGGAGCTTTGGGTTTCGCTTTCCCGAAGAATCGGTTCATCTTGGTCGGCCGCGAAGAAACCAAACACTAAGGGGAAAACTAGAAACGGAAGCAGAATCACTCCCACTTCAACTTCCGGCCCTCCCAGGCGCAAGCGCTGTATGTTCCCTGGAATATATCCTTTTTCCGGATGTTCAATTCGGACTTCCGGGGAAGTAGGGCAGCGCGTTAGAAAGGGCGGGGAGGGAGCTTACAGTGGGCGGGACCTATGTGTAGTGGGCGGGGCTTCTGTGGCGAGGCGGGGCCCTGGCTGAAGGGGGTGGGGCTTACCGGCGGCGTTAGCGGAGAGGCACAGACCGCAGTATGGAGGGCGTGGTGGACAGACAAGGGCGGGGCCGGGAAATGACTTGGCCCGGGGCTCGAAGCAACTGTCATTTTCTCCGCTGGGCGGGCCACCGGCGCGGCTCTGGCTGAGCACGGCGGCGCGCCAAGACCGCGAGGCGACCAGGAGCGGCTGGGCCGCCGGAGGCGCGCCCCTCCGCGCTCCCGGGAGCCGCGCCGGTCGGAGTCCTCGGCCAGCCGCGGCGCTCTTTCCTCTCAGCGCCCGTCTGTTCGCAGTGCAGCCGGGGGACATGACCGACCCACCAGGGGCGCCGCCGCCGGCGCTCGCCAGCCGCGGATGAAGAAGAAAGCCAGTCCCCGCTCCACCCGGAGCAAGAAGGAGACCCAGACCAAGGAGGTGACCCAGACCGAGGAGGTGACCCAGGCCGAGGAGGTGACCAGGGGCAAGGAAGTGATCCAGGCGGAGGAGGTGGCCCAGACCGAAGAGGTGACCCCGGCTCAGGAAATGGCGGCTGCCGGGCTTAGCGTGACCGTCACCCACAGTGAGCGCCGGGCGGCCGGGTGGGTTTGTGCGGCGGGTTTGGCCACGTGTCCTCCGGGAACTTGGGTCCTTGTATTTGTCCCAGCGCCCCGAGGCGCTGGCTTTAGGCTAGGGCCTGTGTCTGTACATCTTTTCATGTGAGCGGTCTCTGGCCATTTGTTGCATCCTCGATGTTGGAGCATGTTCAAACATCGTGTAACTAGTTATGTGTATGTGTGTGTGTGTGCTCACACAGTTATTATGTCTTTTTGTCAGCCTTGTTTTTGGTCATGTTGTGTACAACTGTAGTGTGTCTGGGCACATACGTTTGTGATGAGTCTTAACGAATCTAAACTTAGTGATTGGCGGGCTGTTTATTGAGTACCTTAGGTGCCACACTTCCACTGTTTGAGCCGGCCATGAGTCCAGTCTTTACTCCCTGATATTCTTTGGAGTTTGACGCAAAACTAAACAAAGTTAGTATACTCTCCAGTGAATCCGTGAGGTTCCTCCTAACCAGGTAGGAGAGGCAGGAGTGTCTTGCAATCTGGAAACCAGAATTCTAGTTCCTCCAGTTTTGAGTGATCTTGTGGATTTCTCCTTTCTAGGCCTGTAGTTTATTCTCTGTGGCGTAGAGTTGGTAACCCCTGCCTCCACCAACATCATGGAATTGTTGGGAGAATTCAAGGCTTTGGTGTAATGCTCTAAAGCCACTTACTTTGTATACACCTTGGAAAACAGCACTTGTGCTTCCAAAAATTCACTGCTGTGTGTATTTGTCTTTACTAGTCACCATTTGCAGTGTCCGAGGCTTATGTCAGGCGGGAGTCTTTGAAGAAGCACTGTTTTGTACATTGCAGCAAGGAGACAAAACAGCACAATAGGGATGGAAAACTAGCTCAGTAAACACCTGCCTGGCAAGCACAAGGTCCTGAGTCCAATCTCCTGTACTTGAAAAATAAAAAAAATAAAAAAAAAAATAAAACAAAAAAAATAGCATAAGAAGTGTAGACTAGCCAGGCCGCAAGCAGATAGCTTGTGATGAAAAATGTGGGCTTTGGAACCCACTGGATTTAAGATTATAATCTTATTCCACTAGTTAAGTTGCCATAGGCAAGTGTTAACTGAATTGAATTTAGTTTGCTTGTCTATGAAATAAAGAATATGTAGTGCTTACTTCATGGAGTTTCTCTGAGGATTAAATAAGATAAGCATGAAATGAGTCTAGTAGAGGCCCTTATACATAAGTGCTTAAAACATTAGCTATAGTTGAAGTTGTTAGTTCTTAAAATAGAGGGGAAAAGGGCTGCCCAGATAGCTCAGTGGATTAAGCCTGTTTAGGCAAGCACAGGGAATGGTTGGATCCCCTGCATGCTGTATAGGCCCTGCCCCTGGGGCACGGTGAGACAGTGATTGAGACTGGATGTGGTAGTGCTCTCATCTGTAATCCCAGCACTTGGAAGGCTGAAACCAGGAGCATCACTATGAGACTGATCTGTGTAGTAAGACCCTATACTAAATACATTAATAATGATAATAATAATAATAATAATAATAATAATAATAGAAGGGAAAGAAATCTTGGAGCAGATTGTGAGAGGATGGGGAAAGGCATTTTGTAGTAACATATAGACTAGTTTCTTGAAGGATGGGTAAAATTAATGTAAAAGCGTCTGTCTATACTGGTTTATGTAAAGGAGTTATATTCACTAAATGTTTTTTCTATGTCTGCCTAGGCAGTGAAAAGCACGACCTTCATGTTACTGCTCAACAGGGTAGAACCGAACCAATCGTCCAAGACCTGGCCCAGGCTGTTGAAGAGGCCACAGGGGTTCCACTGCCTTTTCAAAAGCTCATATTTAAGGGTAGGTACTTCTTTTCTAGCTTTAAGCTTGTTTAGTTAAAGGGCAGATTTAAAACTATCTAACCCTACATAATGATAACTCAGTTTTCAAACTGGGACAGTGTTTATTTATTCATTTGTTCAACAAATACTTAGTAAGGGGCTGGGGAGATGGCTCAGTGGAATAAGCGCTTCCCTGGCAAGTGCAGGGGCCCGAGTTTAATCCCAGGTTCTGGAAAAAAAAAAAAATAGTGAGGATCTGCTTTGTACTGGATTTTTTTCAAGCATCTGATAGGAATCAGATTTAAACTGATGATGGAAATTTTTGATAAAGCACATAGGCAGTCTTCTGTACCTAGGTTAGCTTCTCTATGTTCACATGATACACACTACAACTTCTACATAAATTGTACTGAAATTTCCTTAGTTGCTTAGCATTGTTTCTCTGTTAGGATAACAAATTCCATGAGGACAAAAAATTCTGTTTCCAGTCCTAGGTGTTGTGCAGACTCAGAAAACTTTGAAGAAATTTACTAGGGCCCTGGATGTGGCAGTTGTATTGGCTGCAGATTTCCACTGGGACCCACCCCTTCCTTACCCCTTTGTTACGGTTTGTGTCTAGTTGACCCTCCAAAGCCTCATGCAGTCATTGGGTGGGCTTCTAGAGTTTGTGATTAATTCATGATCCAATGCTGGGATTATGGGTGTGAATGCTACACCCACCCTGGGGCAGATAGTCTGGAGGCAATATAAGGAAAGGAGAGAGGCTTGTGTCAGTGCTGCGGCCACCACTGCTCCCTCTTTTTGCTCTTGCTGTTTTGCTGTTTCCTACCACCTTGAATTGCCATGTGCCACTCTATCTTTGAGCTAGCTGAGTATGGACTGAAACCTCCACAAACTATGAGCTAAAGGAACCTTTTCTTAATTTTGAGTGCCAGATATTTTGTCCCAGAAATGAAAGAAAAGTAACCAAGACACCGTGTCTGCCTTCCTGTTCCCATTAAATCCATTATTCTGATAATCTGATAGGGGCAGACATCTCACTGTATACCAGTCTTCATAAAGAATTTAATAATAGGGAATATTTTTATTTATATTTGATAGTAATCTTGTTTTATCTTTTTAAAAACATTTTTTGGCTGGGCCAACACTTAGGAGACTGAAGCAGAAGGATCACTACAAGTTAGAGGGCAACCTGGGTTATATAGTAATTTTTTTTTTTTTTTTTTTTAATGTATTTAGTACAAGGTCTACAGGGTCTCATTATGTAGATCAGACTCATAGTGATCCTCCTGTTTTCAGCCTCCCAAGTGCTGGGATTACAGGTGAGTGCCATCATGCCCAGTCTCAATCACTGTCTCAGCGTGCCACTGTGCTCTGCCTAAGCACTCTTTGGCCTGCTGAGCTATCTGGCCAGCCCTTATATAGTGAATTTAAGGTCGGGTCTGGAATACATAGTGAGCCCTTGACTCAAAAATCTCGAAAATCAAGAAACGGGGCCTGCCAGATAGCTCAGTGGATTAAAGTATCTGTTTAGGCAAAGCACAGTGGCTGGGGTTCAATCCCTGGTGTGCTGGCTCTGTACCCAGGGCATGGTGATTGAGACTGTGTGGTGGCACCTCCTGTAATCCCAGCATTTGGGAGGCTGGGATTATACAGGAGAGTAACTACGAGTCTGATCTGTGCAGTAAGACCCTGTAGACCCTATACTAAATGCATTAAAAAAAAAAAAAAAAGATGGAAAAAGAGAACTTAAGGATTAAACAACATAGAGAGAGATGGGAAAGAAGTTGACTCAAAAATCTCGAAAATCAAGAAACGGGGCCTGCCAGAGTGATCAGGGCGGAACTATCCATTTATACAAACAAGATGGTTAAGGCAATGGTCTTAGAGTTTCCATCAGGTTTTTGAAAATAGCAGTTAATGGGTATATGTCTCACCCTGACTAACTTTATATGCTGATGTCTGTGAACTAAGCAACTGCAGTGAGGACAGCAATATGTAATACTAAAACCATGCTTGAAATACCCTTCAAAAAAAATAAAATAAAATAAAATAAAAAAAGAAAGAAAGAAAGAAAAATCAAGAAACAGGGCTGGGAGGTAGCTCACCAATCTAAGCGCCTGCTTAGATCCCTGACAAGTGCAGGGATCAGGTTCTATCCCCTGGAGTGCATGCTGTGCCACCAAAACTGGGCATGGTGGTGCTCTCCTGTAATCCTTGAGCTGGGAAGGACTGAGACAGGAGAATCACTATGAATTTGAGCTGTGTAGTGAGACCCTGTACCAAATAACTAAAGATTAAAATATATATATATTTTCTGAATTAAAAGACACAGAAATTCATGTTCTAAAATAGAAGAAAACACAAAGAAGAAAATCTTCCCCTGGATATAAAGGCCTTTATAACCTTTTCTTTTTTCTTTTTCTTTTTTTTTTTTTTTTGCTAAGATTTCAAGTCAGATCCTAATGCATATGGGGCAAGTACTATACCAATGAGCTAAATCCCTAACCCCTACATTTGATAACTTTTTTTTCTTGTAACATTGAGTCATCAACATTCCTTGTGTAGTTGAAGTGCCCTGAATTCGTTTTAATGCCCACAGAGCGTTGTACAAATGTATGATTAATCAACCCCCAATTCATGAATATTTGGCTCTTTATAGTTTCTATTATAAGATTGTACCAAGACAGGCATGGTGGTGCACACCTTTTATCTCAGCACTCTAGGAGGCTGAGACAGAGAGATGAAGTTTGGAGCCCAGTCTAGACAATTTAGTCACCTACTGGAAGTCTGTTATGATTTGTGTATAGATGTCTCACAAAGCCTCATTATGGGCATGGGCTTCTAGAGTTTGTGATTGATTCATGGTTCAATGCTGGGATTATGGGTGTGAGTGCTACACTTGCCCTGGGGCAGATAGCATGCATACAGTAAAAGGGAGAGGAAGAGCTTGTTTTCTCTCTTCCTTGCTTCTTTTTTGGCTCTTGTTTCTTTGGCTGTCTTCTGCCATCATGAACTGTTGCTCCTCTGCCACACCACCTGCCTTGGAGCCAGCTGAGTATTGACTGAAACCTCCGTAAACTGTATGCTAAATAAACCTGTCGTTCCTTAACTTTGGATATTTTGTCTCAGCCATGAGAGGAAAGTAACTAAAATACTGTCTCCCAAAAAATTAAAAAAGGCTGAGGATGTAGCTTAGTGTAAAGGCTCTATGGTCTATTCTTGGTACTGTAATTAAAAAAAAATATTATATCATGTAATAAGAGCTGTGTAGGCACATGTCTTATTTTCTGTTTAGAATAAATATTTTAAGTGAAATTACTTGGTCAAGATACTTTCTAAAAAGTTATACCAATTCATCATCATCTCATTAATGAACACATTTTTTTGTTTCCTATATCTTTGCTGAAATCTATTTTCTGTGTTGTACAATTATTATAGTTTGCCGTACCTTTCTTCTCTTTTTCAGGAAAATCTCTGAAGGAAATGGAGATGCCATTGTCAGCACTTGGAATACAAAGTGGTTGCCGAGTCATGTTAATTGGGGAAAAGGTAAACTACTTTTTCCACATGAGTCCCACAGAATCAAATGACTAAGTTTTTATACACATTTCTGTTTAGAAGGCCAAATTTGGGCCCAGATTCTGCATTGGGAAAACACTTCTTTAAAGTAGTCACTATTTGATGGAATTACCAATTTTGTTGTTTGGTTACTTTGTATCTTTCTTTTCCTGTTGATTTGAATTTTTGCCTAAGAATTAGGAGCCATTGTGTTGCCTCAATAACAAGTACTGTGAGCCAAATTTGGTGGCACACACCTCTAGACCAACCGGTGTGGGAGACTGAGGTCTTTATCTCATTGGATTTAGCTCAGTTTGATCACTCTAGGAGGACTGCAATTTTGAGCCTGGGAAAAGTAGCAGTTTAATGGGACTTATCTCAAAAAAAAAAGGAAAATGATTGGAAAGCCAGTCTTTTTAACCACCATTTTTACTACAGTGTCCCACAAGAGAAAAACCCTTTTTGACTAGAAAGGCTCAAACTAAAGAACTGAGGGGGGAGAAGATTCAATTGGTAACAGATGAAGTCAGTGGCCCATAAGGTAATAAGGAAGCATTGTGACAAAGTAACAAGGTAGAGTTGTTGAGCATATGAAGTTTCCTTACTTAGTTTTCTGGCTAGGTGGAGAAGGTGTCAGAGATTAGCAAAACAGAAGGAAATCCAACTAGACCTGGAATTGCCAGGATACTGTGACTCAGGATTTGTCCACGCAGAATAATAAACAACTGAGGACAGTGTAATAAAGCAGGAAGTTTCTGGCCCTGGTTATTAGTTGTTTAGGTGAGAGGCTAAATATTATAAATTTCTTGTTGAAGGACAGGGAGAATGGGAATGAAGAGCTTCAGAAGCCATGGGTTGAGTTTGAAGAAACTAAGATTTTCAGTTGCAGTTGTCCTAAAAAATAGAGAACTGGTCTGAATTCCAATCTGTTCTACGTTGTTTGGGTGTGTGACTCTAGGTTAGCATAGTAAGCCACAATTTGATCATCTGTGAAACAGCATGTCCTTAGAGTTGTAAGGTTTTTAAAAAAGATAACAGGTAATGTGCTTTGGATAGTGCCTGGCATGTAGTGAGTGTTCAGTGAAAGTATTCATGGAGGATCATAAGCTTGAGACCAGCCTGAGCAACTTAGCAAGACTTTGTCTTAAAATTAAAAAATGGGGGAAAACAAAAACCCTGACAGTGTAGCTCAGTGTGAAGGCATGAATTCAATCCCAGTGCCATCAAAAAATAGTATTAATTGTCATTATATTAAATAGGGATATTCAATTGGAGGGTGGCATTTAGAAATTCCATTTAAAAGAATAAGTGAATTCTGCTTGTCTTGGCATTCTGTACTCCGCAGAAGCATTCTATGTAATCTGTTTACCTTCCTTTCTGTGCACAGGCTATTGATGAGCCTAGAGCTGATGCTGAACCTGGCACTTAGATTGGCTCTGCTCTCTGAACCCAAACTGTCAGGACCACTATAAGAATGTTTAGGGGCTGGGGAGATGGCTCAGTGGAATAAGCGCTTCCCTGGCTAAGCGCAAAGGCCTGAGTTCAATCCCTGGTTCTGCCAAAAAAAAAATGTTTACCTAACACCTTTTTTTTTTTTTTTTTAATGAGCAGAATATATTTATTGAGGGAAAGAAAGCTCCTGTCTGAGAGAAGGACAGGAGGGGGGCCCCGAGTGGGTTGTTCCCCGGGAAGCTCTCTCTTTTTTAAAAATTTTTTTATTGAGAAATAAATATGAATGAGACAGTTTCACAGCTGATTAATAGGACAGTTTTGATAGTCAATACACTGTACATTGTTATCTTCTTAGTGGTTATCCATAGTACAAGAAGCAGACAGGGGGGCTGGTGAGATGGCTCAGTGGTCTAAAGCACCTACTTAGAACAAGCTTAGCAAAGCACAGGGACCGCGGTTCAATCCCCCAGCACCACATGGCAGCCAGCCCCGCCCCCTGGTGGGCTGAGCTGGCCACCCTAAATAAATAAATAAATAAATAAATAAATAAATAAAAATTTATAAAAAAAAAAAGAAAGAAGAAGCAGACAGGATATTCTGTCCAAACACTGCTAGTACACCTCTTTCTTCTCTTTGAATTAAACACCTTTCTTCTGTCCAAACTAGAGTCTATAAGTAGAAAACTTTAATATATAACCCTTTGATTTATTTTCCAAGCAGAAAGTTACAACTTCTAGCTGAATGAGTTAGCCCAACTGTAGTCAGATTTTTTTTTTTTTCCCATCAGAGGCTTCTGGTCTTGGTAATTATGTTTTATTTCATTCATCATTTTAGAGCAATCCAGAGGAAGAGGTTGAGCTAAAAAAGTTGAAAAATTTGGAAAAGTCTGTGGAAAAGATAGCTGACCACCTGGAAGAGTTGAATAAAGAACTTACTGGAATCCAGCAGGTAATATCCTTCATGAACTTTGACTTTATAACTTCTGTAATGCTTTTGTAAATATAATGTGTGGTTATAAGGGTAGGCTTTGTAGCCATACTCCCTAGGTTCAGATCCTAGTATCTGCCTCTGTCTCTGTTTTTGTCCGAGTACTTGGGATCAAACCCAGGGCCATGCTCATGCTAGGCAAGTTCTCTGCCACTGACTACATCCCTAACTCATGCCCTTTTTCTTACTGTTTTTTGTTTTGTTTTTTGTACTGAGAATTGAACTTAGGACCTTGCACTTGCCAGGTCAGCACTATGCCCCTAAGTTACATCCCTAGCCCTTCTTAATGCTAACCAGTGTGTCTTTGTTTCAAGTTCCTCACCAGTGAAAAGGAACGTTTAACAGATTCCTACCAGTTTGAACCACCAGTGGTGTTATATGCATAATTGTTCCATCTGGCAGCTTATACCACCTGATAGGACTGTTCTATGTCACCCAGTGAGACTGTCATATATCTATCACCAGTGGTCCAAAGCTGCCTAGCAGCCAAATATACAAATTATGGCCATGTCATATGTTAATGGTATTTCCCTCTCAGGATTGTCATGAGACTTTAAAGTGTTTATTAGGGCTAGGGGGATAGCTTAATGGTATAGTGCTTGTCCCACATGCTAAAGGCCCTGGTTTCAATCTCAGCAGTGCAAAAACAAATGTACTTTTAAAGTGTTATTGTCACTGTTATGTCAGAGTTCAGCCAACATCAATTTATGTTTTGGGTTTTTTTTCTTTCAGTCCTTTAATTAGTCATTTCCTACACACTTGGTCCTTTTTTTTTCTTTCTTTTTTTTTTTCCATAATTTTTTAATTTATGTTTATAGGAAACACTTGCTATATTAGACTCATGTAGTTTGTGAAGTAGAACAAACAGGTGGCATCTTGCAGTCCAGGGTGTTGTATTGTGCTTGGCAAAGCAAAGAACATTTTGTTGATTCATAAAAGGTGCAGATTGAGCTTAATTTTAGTGAGGTGCGGTAGAGGTGGGTGTCATCCTATTCAGTTTCTCATATTATACATAGTAAATTACTAAAGCCCAGAAAAGATTAGGGATAGCTCAAAACCCCCTTTCCCTTCCTTACTTTATAACATGATGGTGTGGGTTGTGTTTTCATTATGATTATGCTTACATAGAATTTTTTTTGTTTTTGTTGTTTTGAGACAGGGTCTCAATGTAGTTCAGGCTGGCTTGAACTCACTGGGTTTTTTATTTGTTTGTTTTTTAAATGTATTTGGTACAGTGTCTCACTATGCAGCTTGGACTTGTAGTGATCCTCCTCTAGTGCTGGGATTACAGGCATGCACCACCACACTGGGTCTTGGTGGCTAGCTCAGTGTGCCAGGGGTGGGGCCAGCACAGCATGTGGTGCCATGGATTGAACCCTGGTCCCTGTGCTTGCCTAAGCAAGCCCTTAGTCCGCTGAGCTATCTCGCTGGCCCTTTGAATTCACTTTGTAGCACAGGCTGGCCTCGAATTTGCAGTGATCCTCCTGCCTCGGTTTCCTGAGTGCTGGGATTACAGTGTATGCCACCACACCCAGCCATACAGAAATTTTAAATAAACAACATTGGTACTAACACAGAAAAGAAAAATTACTTGTAAGGCACAAGCCAGTAAACTGCAGTCAGGATTCTTGCACAGGCCTGTCAGAACCTAAACCAGTGCTTTTGTTTGCTTCTCGTGTGCAGGTGTACACTTGAGACTGGGGACATCATCAGAGCCAGGCCTCAAGAGCCATTTAAAGTCTCATGATTTACGCCAGACATACACCTGCAGCTTGATAAAGTTGCTGGGCTGGTCTAAGGACAACCTTTCTGTTTTTCCCAAGAGATGAAGGTGTTGGTCTGAGATGTGGCCTGGCCTGTTATGACAATGGTGGATTCAGGGTGTGATTGCCTTATTAGTACTGTGGCATGGAGTTTTCCATCAGCCTCATGGAACACTTCCAGTAACGCATTATTCTTCCATAGGGTTTTCTGGCCAAGGATTTGCAAGCTGAAGCTCTCTGCAAACTTGATAGGAAAGTAAAAGCCACAATTGAGCAGTTTATGAAGATTTTGGAAGAAATTGACACAATGGTAAATAAATATTCAACTCAGAAAAATTAGTTTTCCATGACAATATTTCAGTTAGTTTCACTCTTTCATTTACATACTCTTATTGCCTGAGCATAACACTTGAGGATATTGAACATCTACCGTGTGTGTCAGACATCATGCTTGGTCCTGGATCAATACATAAAGTAGACCAGTTCCTGATCTGTAGCCCATTGACATGGGCTTTTGTCATATTATAAAATAAAATAAAATTATATATATATATATATATATATATATATAAATATATGTATATAACTGAAATCTGCAGTTATAAAGCCTGGGACCCAAGTGTTCCATGATCTCATGGTCCAAGAAACCATGCTTCCTGGCACTCAAGTGACTAATGATTCCATTGAGTTCATTTCCTATGTAGACTTCTACCAGACCCAGATCTTGTGAGCCTATTGAATCATTGACCCTGGTTTCTTTTTTACAGATGACTGTAATGGTGTCTCTATTCCTCCTCTTTACTCTTAAGAGTGAACTACTCTGGGGGCTGGGGAGATGGCTCAGTGGAATAAGTGCTTCCCTGGCAAGCGCAAGGGCCTCAGTTCAATCCCCGGTTCCACCAAAAAAAAAAAAAAAAAAAGAGTGAACTACTCGGGACTTAGGATTCTCTGGGCAGTGGTGGTGGGTGGGTTATAAAAAAGAAGTGGAAGTACTTTCCCTGGTACATGATCTAGACAGGGCATAGTGTCCATACATAGGTAACAGTGAAAGAACAAAGTGTGTTGCCGATCAGTGTTGGGAGGGGTGTGATATTTTGTTTTTGTTTTTTGAGATAGGATCTCAGTGTGTAATTCAGGCTGGCCTTGAACTTTCAGTGATCTCCTGCCTCAGCCTCCCAAATGCTGGGATTACAGGTGTGTGCCACCATGCCAGAGCATTTTTTTATGACCCAGACATTGAGAACAATGTTCCTTTTATGGGGACAAAGCTATGGAAAGGACTGTTTAGGTTACAGACCTAGATAAATGATTCCTAAAATACACATTTTATTCACATCAGTAACCTATTTGGTATGTTGTATGTTTCTGATATGTCATTGTCACTGAAGATTTTTTATATGCCAACTTTTTCTTCCATAGATCCTACCAGAAAATTTCAAAGACAGCAGGCTAAGAAGGAAGGGTTTGGTGAAAAAGGTTCAGGTGAGTTGTGTGGTAGTACATGGCAAATTGTAATGCATTGATTTGTTTATTCATGGGTTTATCTGTTCAAGGTTCGGTACTATAGAAATGTATATGACATGGGAATTTTTTGGTTATTGTTTACTTATTAGCATGAAACCAGGGTATCAGAGAAGAATTTACTTCATGTCCCTATAGTTACAGTTAATTTAAGGAAGAAGTTCAGTGGCAAGCAGAGAGTGACATTGTTCATGCTGACACTGTTCATTTTTGCAGTGCCCCCTTTACTTGTATTGTTATGGAACTGTGGTCCTGAGGGAAGGCTCCCTATCTGTATGAACTTTTTGGGAATTATTGACCTAGAATGTGATTAGAATCCCTAGGTCTATACTTCTTTTCCCTCACCTTCCTTACCTTTGCGCTCAGGCTGGGTACCCATCCCCACCCACGCACAAGCTGTTTAGAGTCTCCCTTACTGGTTTCAGAATGGCCAAATGTGGGATGAATAGTGGTTGGCTAGCTCTGGCAGGGCTGTCACTACCCTGTGTCTTATCTTTTAGGCATTCTTAGCTGAGTGTGATACAGTGGAAGAGAACATCTGCCAAGAGACTGAGCGGCTACAGTCTACAAACTTGGCCCTTGCTGAATGAGGTGCTGTGGAGAGGCTCTGCTGCCCTGAGGAGCAGCACCACTACCCTGTCTTCTCTTCAATAGAAGCTGTCTGTTCCTCCAGAGCTGCCAGAGGCAACTGGCCAAATGTCAATTTTCCTACTCCTACACTGGTTCTCAATGAAAAAGTACTGTCTTTGCAACCTTAAGTAGAGCTGGTCTCTGTTTCCTTGTTCTGCCTCTGTGTGACTGTCCTGTTCAGCACCACTTCTTCTGGAAAGGGTCTTCCTACCCATGTTTTACCAGCTCTTTTGACCTCTGGGTGTGTCCTGTGGGCTGGTTAGCCCTAGTGTTGGGTTTATAAGGCACCCTGGTCTTTCGACACATAACTTTCTTAACCTTGCAATCTCAGAGTCCACATAGTTATAAAACCAAAGTCATTAGGAAGTTGCGTCAGTCACATGTTTGGCACACAGGTAATTCAGTGTCCCTTGTGCCCTAACTCCAGAACATATGGATAGATTGTTGCTTTAAAGACCCTGTCCTAGGGGTCAGGGAGATGGCTCAGTGGAATAAGTGCTTCCCAGACAAGCACAAAGGCTGAGTTCAGTCCCCGGTTCCACCACACACACAAAAAAAAGACCCTGTCCTTTCCTCCCAATGACCCTGTCCAGCCACAGGTGTTGAGATATCCAGGACCATTCCTAGGATGGTACCTGTAGCTGGTGAATGGACTTCCTTGTCCCCAGGCAAATCTTCAGAAGTGTAGAGCCCATTGTTGATTGAGTTTATTGGAAAGCAAGCCAAAGCCATGGCTCAGAAAGGGCAAGGAAGGGGAGCCAAAAGGAAAAATCAGGTAGTTCCAGAAGCTTCTCAGGAGTGATAATGTTTCCTTCAAGGGCATTTCTGTTAACTGTATCCTTCTCACATCCACATTTCCTTTGAAACTTTCTATTTTATGGATTTCTATCCAGTACCATTGCTATTAAAAACCAGTTTGTATGCCTGTCATCAAGCGGAAAAGTGGTTTTGTTTTGTTTGTTTATTTCTTTATTTATTGAGACAGGGTCTCAATATATAGTGTAGGCTGAACCTGACCTCACTATATAGCCCAAGGTGGTCTTGAATTCACCAAGGTCCTCCTGCCTCAGCTTCCTGAGTGCTGGGATTACAGGTGTGTGCTGCCATATCTGTCAATAGTGTTTTGGTTTTGATTGATGAGATATAAAAAGGGAAAGATTTTTGTGCCTGTAGTCAGAGTTTGTGTTAAAGTTGAGTGACTTTGTGGTGGAACCTAACATAAACTGGTCAGCTGAAGTTCCAGGAATTTGGGACTGGGTGGGCTAGACCTCAGACCAGGAATGCTAGAGAGAGAAGAGAAGCAGACTCAGGGCCCAGCTCAATTTGAGTAGTTTATTACTATATATATAGTTATATATAGTATTGTTGTGGAACTGAGGGAAGGCTCCCTATCTGTATGACCTTTTTGGGAATTATTGACCTAGAATGTGATTAGAATCCCAGGTCTATAGTTCTTTTCCCTCACTTTCCTTACCTTGGGCACTGTATATAAAATCTATGTGGTCTTGAAGTATAATTTGGGGGAGTCTACCACTGAACTACATTCTTTATTTTTGAGATAGGATCTCAGTATGTACTCCAGATTAGTGAATTACTTTGTAAACCCTTTTTTTTTAATGGTACTGGGGACTGAACTCAGGACCTTGAGCTTGCCAGGCAAGTGCTTATTCTACTGAGCTATCTTCCCAGCCCCATTCTAAGCCTTTTTACTTTTTATTTTGAGACAGGTTCTCACTAAGTTTTCAGGCTGGCTCAAATTTATAGTCCTTTTGCTGCCCAAGTACCTGGGATTACAGGCTTATGTCTCATTCCTGGCTGGGCCACATTATTAGAAGTTCTTGTGGGCTATACTGTTCTAAGCTTTCAATGTATGTGTGTGTGTGTGTCTGTTCAGTGGCAGGTGGTAGGCTGCTTCCTATTCTCTGTGGTCTTGAATATAGATGCGATGGCTGGAATTGGAATAGCTGTTTTGGACCTTGAGAATAGTGTTGTGGGGTTGGCAGAGTCACAATATAGGAGCAGAGGTCTATTTTCTTTAACCACTACAATTTTGGTTTTCTGTCTCACAGCCAAATTTAATCCTACATCATTCGTATGCAGGTGGAAAGCAAGTTTATCAACAGTGGTAATGGGAACTATAGAAGACCTAGTCCCTGTACCTGTGCATCCATCAGCAGCAGTTCGTTCTGGTGGTTCCATTTTAGTGGTTCAGGCAGTGTTGGCTCCTTTCTTCCCTGCCCTGCTTTCCCCTTTGATATGTTTTCTCACAGTATCTCCTACTTATTCGAACCCCTGGGGCAGAAATCTGAGTTGTATGAAACTGCTCCCACCTGGCCAGGCCTCTACACATTCACCATTGTTAAGAGCTCCTCCTATAGACTTTGGCATATATTGTAAGCTTGGGTCTCATGGAATTTCTGGATGCTGTGGGTCCCCAGGGGCCACTGTGAGTGTCTGTGTGCTGTGTGTGCCTGGAGTTGTGTCTAATGTCAACCAGCCAGTAGATGCTGACTTAAAGAGCAAAACAGTTCTGGAATCTTGTGCCAGGAGTTAGTTAACCTGAGACATTGGACACTGAGATATGCAGACCTTTCCAGGGATAATCTGTGTGGCCCAGGGGTGTGGGAGGGCACTCAGGGCTTGGGGAAGCTTATGGTTTTGAATATTAATGACCTGGTTCAATATTACTATAAGTAGTCCAGTTGTACTGTGTACACAACACAGCTTGTGTACTGTGCCTGTGTTAAATTGCTGTGTTTTGCTGTCTGCATGCTCTACATATCCATCAGCAACAGTCAAGAAGGGTGAAGCTGAGCCATACACCTGAATGGTATTGATCTCATTTAGATCCTTGTCCAAATAGGGCAGGCCAGGTCAGGCAGGAACAGTAAGAAGTATGAGAGGCTGAACTCTCAATTAGGCAGAAGATAACTGGGACTTCTGAGAGGACATGTGACATGGTTGAGAAGCATCAGAGAGATGGAGAGGAGTTGCACATCAGATTTCGAGCAGGGCAGACAGTGGGAGATCTGCAACCACCTCCCAAGTTCCCAAGACACTGGTCCACATCGCTGATCGGATGGCTGATCTTTTATTTTACATCACATTTTTCTGCCCTCTGCTGTTCTTTAGTATAAAGCTTCATGGCTCAAGGCACTCCTTTGGATTCAGCATTCACCATCCTTTATGATCTGGATGTCTTTTTTGGTTTTTCTAGAATCACAGGAAACAAGGGTGAGGTTACCTCTGCTGGAACTGTCACACAGCCTTTAAGGACCAGCCTCGGTCCATCTGGATACAGTGAGTCCCCACCCATGTACTGATGGAGGGAATCACCTAGGGCATGTGTGCCTCAGTGGGCTGTATTATTGAAAACTAAAAAGTTCACCATTGCACTCCTAGAGGGTCCATGGGTACATCTTTTATGATTTTTCCCTTTTCCATAGCCTTCCTCTGGGAGATTTCAACCTCCACTGCATGCTAGTGGCTGCTAGATCTGTGTCCAGCCTGGACCTGCCCTGCCTGTTCATGCAGCTGCTCATTGCACATTGCATTGGGATATACCGGGCATCATTCCCGAGAGCTGCCACTCACTATCTACTTAATCCCCATCTCAACATAAGACACCATCAGCCACCCATAAATTAGAAACAAACCCATTACTCTTACCTCTTCCCTCCCCCTTCCCAATTAGTCGCACATGGAGCCTATCATTTCTACCCACTGGGTATCTCAGCCATGTGTCTTTAATTATGATCATTTTAAAAGCCAGGACAATGCTCTGTTCTACTTATATTTCCTCATGCAAACCACATCTGTCTAGAGCTTTGCAGCTTCTCTTCCATAATCTCATTTAGTTCTAGACTGACTGAGGATTTTATCAGTGAAGAAACGAGATTAAGTAGATGGCCCTTCTCTGCTCACTGAACTAACTCAGTGCCTCTGTGTCATTCTCCCTTAAACTATACTCTGACATATCCAAGCCTCACATTTTCCTTTGTAGAAATGTGCTTTTCCTTCCAAGCTGTTATTTGTACCTCCTCCCCACTTGAAACATCTTCCCTTTTTTCTACCTGGTTTCTACCTGTCCCTCCTGAGGGCTGGGCACAGGAGTTCCCATCCTCCAGGCAGTCTTCCCTGGCATGCCCCTTCCCTGCTCCCATGGCACCCTGTGTGTCCCATCTGAGCCTTGAGCATTCTGTGCTGTAATTAACTGCCATCAGCTTGCTTCCCCTTAGACACACTGTGCTCCAGAAGACAAGTAATGCTGTCTTATCCCACTGTGCTTTGCTCTACCCTCAGTGGCTTTGCACAGAGCAGGTACTCAATAATTCTTTGCTTGAGGAATGAAAGAACACATGAGATTACCTAGCAGAACAAGGAAAAGAACCCAGGGTTTGCCAGGTATGGCACACACCAGTAATCCCAGCGCTTGGGAGGCTGAGGCAGGAGGACTGAGTTCCAGGCAAGCTGAACAATATAATTCAAAGACAGCCTAGAGTACATAGCAAGACCCTGTTTCAAACAAAATGGGTTTCTGTCCCCTCAAAGTCCACTATTGCTTTCTTCTTAGAACCTTCTGCCTTCCTTGATTATATAGGCTCATTCTGTTAGAGGTTAGGGTTGGAAGACTCTGCTCAGGCCGAATATGTGTATGAAGGAAGCAGCCAATTAAATCTTTGTCCTTTCAGATCTGTGTGCACTAGAGATGGGGCCTATCCAAGAAAAGGGGACCGGGGTACTTACATACGAGTCAAGCAGAGATGACATTCATTTTTGTATGTGACCCCATCAGTGCCACAGATGAGATTAGGTGTCTGGGGACAATTTGGAGGTTCTGCCATGCTCTCGCAGATAGGCTATAGACACAGAAGAGAAGGGAGAGGACTCAGATTTAGTAGGAGTGGGGAGGGCCCAGGGCCCTTATAGCCTGAAAGAAAAAGAGGAGACTGGTTCAGGAAGACTCAAATTTGAGTCCAGCAAACGTGAAACCAGCCAGAGGACCCCAGAGTGTGTTTGCATCTGTGTGTACATGACTGTATATGTGTGCCTTTGGCAGGGTGTGTAAGTATGCACCTGTGTCAGCTGAGCTGAGGTGTGTGAACATTCAGATGTGTGCTTGTGTATATGTATGCAGAGTGAGTTTGTGCCTGCAAGCTCTTGGGGACTGGTTCATACACTCAGAGTTGGGCTAGAATTTCCCCTGCTGGTATACCTGGGGACCCCAGGAGATGGAGCCACTCTTATTTCCAGGAGGCCTCTGTCTCCAGGGACTCTCAAGCTTGCCCAGGCCTGTGTGATTGATCAGTCACATGGGGGGAAGGTGGAACAGTAAGGGGAGACTGGAAAAATGAAGCAGGGAACTTAATTGAAGCTTGGTCTCAAAGGAATTCAAGCCATGCCTGAGTTAGTGTGGTACAGCAGTTAAGGCCTGGCTCTAGAGTGTTGTCATTGACTAACTCATCCACATAAACTTTTTATTTATTTATTTAGTATTTTAGGAGAGGGTTTACAGAGTCTCACTGTATAGATCAGACTCGTATTAATCCTCCTGTTTACAGCCTCCCAAGTGCTGGGATGATAGGCACGCACCACCATGGCCAGTCTCAGTTGTCATCTCAGCACGCTCCGTGGGCAAGGCCAGCATGGCAGGCCCGGAATCGAACTCCCGCCCCTGTGTGTGTCTAAGCAGGCACTTTAATCCACTGAGCTATTTAGCTGGCCCTATCCACATAAACTTGAATGAGCTCTTTCTACTCTCAGAATGTCAGTTTCCTCATTTTTAAAATTTACAAACAATAATGTTCCTTTGACATGAGATTGATTAAAATAATTACAGTAAGTCCCTAATTTATGAACATTTGAGTTCTGAACTTCCACAGAGACAAATGGACCTCACACTGGCAACATTCATGGATGCAAACAAATTGTTGAGGTAGCCCATGTGTCTGCTGGACATTGTCACATTTGTGCTGCTGTGTGCTATAGTACAGTACAGTGGGATAGTCACTAACTGGAGGAGGAGGGTAGGGGAGCGGAAGGCTCATGAGCAGGAGATAAAAGGCATGAGGGAATTTCATTCACACCTCGTATGGATAACAACACAAGTTTTTTGATGGATTCAAGTCTGTCGATCCTCTTGAAAAAACGATCCAGTGATATCTGAGTAGTAGTTCTTTTTTCTCATCACAGATGGCTCTACTCTACCTTCTTTGCTCAGTTAGTAACTCTTCTTGTCAGTTCACTCCATGCAATCCCCTATATGCTGGTTGTTGTACTGTACTGTACCACTATTTTAAGGTAACAGTAAAAATAAAGGTAATTTAGTTACAATTGTACTGTACCATAATTTTAAGGTGACTATAAAAGTAAAAGTTTATTTATAGTATGTGTGTGTTTGGTTTTTTAATGCATTACATTGTATATTTGTGTCAAAGATGTGTAAGATGCTTACCAATGAACCTGACTTGCTGTAGGTAAAGTACTGTGTTTGGCTCATTTTGTGGCACCAGGTGCATGGAGCCAGGTTCTGACCAGCTGGTGGGGAATATCCTGAGGCTGCACTTGGGAAGCTGACTGTGAGCCTTCTCATTCACCTACTTGAAGGGGTGGATTGAATGAGTCCCAACGATGCCAGTGCCACTGCCTTGGAATCACTAGAGATATCAGATGCAGCCAAGATAGAATCAGGGTTTTCATGGATGAGTAGTGAAGTGTGTCTGGGGAGGCTGGATACCCCACAGGGTCATTCTGTATGGAAGAGCACCTCGTTGGCCGGAACCCTATGGCCTGTGTACTCTGCCTAAAGCAGAGAAAGTACTCTTTTCTGCTGAGTCTACAGGGGAGAACTCACAGAAAAGGGTCTTAGGAGAACAGGTTGGGGCAGATCCCAAGGGCTTCAAGACCAGGCTAGGATGTTGATGAGGGGACTGGGCCCTCTAGACTGAAGGAGGTAATCTGGGAGACTTGGAGGCTCAGGGAGCCACTCTTACTAATTTGGGGTCATTGAGGAGCAAGCAAGAATATGGAGACTAACAATGCTGGTTTCCTAGCATGGGTGAGAAGACCCTTCTACAGGGGGCCAGAAGAGTGACCAGCTGCCTTACCGTTCTGGCGGAAATGAACTTTCCTGAGGACACTGGCACTTCTGGAAGACAAAACAAAAATTAGGTGATGTTAGCTGGGCATGGTGGTACATACCTCCCTAGCTACTTGGAAGCTGAGGCAAAAGGACTGCCAAGTTCGAGGCAGGTGCTGAAGTATAGCTCAGCATCCCCTGGATTTAGTCTCTACCATTCAAAACAAAACAAAAACCATGTTGGCTTTGGGTACCCCCATCCTGGGATCTGAGTACTATTTCTCCTTTTCTGGAGACCTGGCTTAGCCACTGCTCAGTCTGGAGAGACAGTGAATCACCAGACAATGATGCTACCAGAAAGTTGGCATGAGTTTATGTGATCTTGGATTATATAAAAATAGTTAGGATTAGAGAGGTGACTGTTCTTGATTAGATCCCTTTGGAATTTGTGTCCTGTATAATGATAATGACAATGATAATGATAATTCAGCAGTTACTACATGCCAGGCATTGAGAATATGTGATTATAATTACTTTTCACACTTCTGTTACTACAGAGAGAAGGAGGGAGGCAGTAGTGGTTGCTATCTGTAATCTGTAACCCATAGCCCACTGCAGGACGGACACACTCATTTCCCCAGCTTCTAGGAGTGTCAGCTACTCACAGAAAGTCCCTTCCTAGGAATTATGCTGGGAAAATGGTACTGCCTCACCCAAATTTGCATCTTCTACCCAGAGATTGTTCATATCTAATGGTGAAAACCTATTGATGTGAGCACAAAGGTCCCATCCACCCCCTCGTCTCCATTTTCAAGCAGTGCTGAAGGGCCACACCAGATCCAGATCTCCCTGTGGGGTCATGTGACCCCCTCTGTTGCCCTGCCATCTTCCTGTTCCCTCATGGGTGTCACTCCTCATAAATGACATGCAGATCCTATAGTCTGATTCCTGGGGCACTTGAATGACTTAGGAGAGAGGCCAGAATAGCTTATAGGATGTGAAAAAAACTGATGTGACATTATGACAGGCAAGCATGGGAACCAGACCCATTTCTAAGGGCACAGGTGGGCAAAACTGTGGAGAGAGAGGGGCAAGATGCTTCCTTGGGTCTCTAAAGGGCTGTCCTGGGGCTGACAAAGAACAGAGCCTGTGTTTGCTTCGGCAGCACATATACTAAAAGAGCAGAGCCTATTCACACAAGGCTTTGAGGAGGTGAGTTTGGTTCCACAGGAAGCCTGTCTGTAAGGCTGACCAGACAGTTCAGGGGACTAAAGCACTTGCTTAGGCAGAGTGCAGTGGCCGGGGTTCGACCCCAGTCTGCCCCTGGGGTGCGCTGAGACTGTGACTGAGACTAGGTGTGTTGGCACATGCCTGTAGTCCCAGCACTTGGGAAGCTGAAAACAGGAGGATCACTACAAGTCCGATCTATGTTGTGAGATCCTGTAGACCCTGTAGACCCTGTATTAAATACATAAAAATAAAAATAAAATTTAAAAAGGAATTTTCCAGGGGAGCTATGCAATAATGAGGAGTGAAGGAGTCTGTCTCTGGAAGTACTGAGTTCCCCATCACTAGAAGTGTAAAGGAAACCTTTTTAAGAAATATTATTATTACCAGAGATTTCCAAGGCAGAGTGGAAGAAAGAGATTGAGACTGCTGCTTCTGATATGCCTGGTTGTGGGGCATCAGAGTGCACATCCAGTTCTGTTGCCACACTGCTTAAAATTCTTCCAGATTATAATTGATCAAATTAAGAATGACTCAAGTGTCCTTCCATGGGAGAATGGATAGATTGTGACACTTCCATACAGCTGGATACTATTCAGCAATAAAAACAAACAGCTGGTACACATCATGTGGCTGAATCTCAAAAACATTTTGCTGAGCAAAAGCAAGCAGACATAAAAGACTACACAGCATGTGACTTCATTTGTGTGAAATTCTAGGGCTTGCCAACTGGCCTGTGGGGGGGAAGGTGGAGAGCAGTGGTGGCCCGGGGCATGGAGCAGAGGGCAGGGTGGAGAGGACAGGCAGGAGAGACATTTCTGGGGTGGTAGAAATGTTCCGTAGCTCAGTGGAGGTTTGGGTCATGTGGGTGCATGGTTAAAGCTCATTGATAAGACCTGTTAGGTGATAATATTTATGCATTTTATGGTATATAACTTACCAAAAAGAAAACATTCCCTGGCTCTGTCCAGACCGATAAGCCTCCCTGTGGACCTGAGCACCTTAGTTTTATGTTTAAGGCACTATGGGAACTGGTCCCAGCCATGTTCCCTGGGCTCACTTGCTAATACATCCTTCATGTCCCTCAACCCCTATTCCCTCTGCATTCTGTTCCTGGAACAGGGGTTGTTGGTTCAGTTTCTCGTGACTGGATCTTCCCAGTCTTTCAAGGCCCAGATGCCCTCCCCATTGTCCTGCACAGCTCCCGAGCAGACCTGGATTTAGGCTACATCAGAAAAGCTTGTGCTGTCTCACTCCCTGGGTCATTCCTTTTCCCCTATGATCCCAAGTTTCAGGGGCTCCTTATCTGTCCCCATGTAGCATCTGCTCAATGCTGTACAAAGACAATGTTTAAGAATTGACCACTAGGGCTGGCATTATAGCTCAGCAGACTAAGCGCTTGCTTAGGTAAGTGCAGGGGCCAGGGTTTGATCCCTGGCACGGCACGGCACGGCATGCCATGCCAGCCCTGCCCCCAGGTGCACTGAGCTGGTGATGGAAACTGGGCATGGTGGTGCATGCCTGTAATCCCAGCACTTGGCAGGCAGAAATCAGGAGGATCACTACAAGTCCGAGCTAGGTAGTGAGACCCTGCACACACACACACACACACACACACACACACACACACACACACAAGAATTGACCATTAAAGTGCACCCTGGGGAGGGAGCATTCAGAATCCATGGTCTTAGCATGTCTTACTAGGGGATGCAGGGGGAAAGTTGCATTTATCCCTAGGCCTCCTTTGACCTGGACTTAAGGTGCCGTCTTCTCACAAGAGCCAAGTGGAAATCTAAAATGTTTATAGGGACCCTCTCTTGAAGGAAGACCCTGAAAGGGTCCAAGATGAACTTCTCAGGGAGTGGGTACTAGACTGGGAGTGAGCTGCGAGTGACCCACCAGAGCCCTGAGATCCATTCCTCCTACCTAGGCCCCAGGTCTGTGCCCCCTGGGGAAATGGTCATCCCAGGGATTGCCTTATAACTTATGGCTTCTGTCCATGTGGGTCCCAACTATTCTCCCAGCTTCCCACTGAGTCTATCCTTAACTAGAGAAGTTCTTTTAAGCTGTAACTGCTCAAAGCTCTCCAGGGCTTCCCATTTTAACTTAGCGAAAAGGCCAGACTCTCACATTGGCCCACAAGGCCTTAGTGGAGTTCCCAGTTGCCCACTCATTTCCTGTTTTTGTCATGTCCTGACTCACCCCAGCCACACTGGCTTCTTGAGTGCTTCTGCTTTGGGACGCTTGCCTGGAATCCCTTTCTCCCAAATACCTCTGCATGCCCTCCTTACCTGCTTCTAGCTCCCCTCACATCAGCTTCTATGAGACATCTCTGCTGATTTACACAGCTGCAAAATTCTCAGTTCCCATTGCTCCCTACTTTCTTTACCCTTTATCACATACTGGCTGGGTTTGTTTCTTTGTGGTACTGGGGATTGAACCAGATATACTATTAGCCTTTTTTATTTATTTTGAGACAGGGTCTCACTAAGTCACCATGCCCAGCTCAATGTAGTATCCTTCCTTTCTTCTTTTCTCTCTCTCTCTCTCTCTCTCTCTCTCTCTCTCTCTCTCTCTCTCTCTCCTTTTTTCTCTCCCCTCTTTATTTCCAGTACTATGGACTCAGATTCTCACTGAACTATATCCCCAGCCCTCTTTTAAAAAATAATCTTTTGGGCTGGTGAGATGGCTCAGTGGTCTAAAGCACCTACTTAGAACAAGTTTAGCAAAGCACAGGGACTGCAGTTCAATCCCCAAGCACCACATGCCAGCCAGCCCCGCCCCCTGGTGGGCTGAGCTGGCCACACACACACACACACACACACACACAAATAAATATTTAAAATAAAAAATAATCTTTTAAAAAAATTGTCTTTTATGTTTAAAAAAAATTTTTTTTTGAGACAGGTTCTCCCTAAGTTTCCCAGATAAGACTTAAAATTGCAGTCCTCCTGCCTTAGCCTTCTTGTCTATTGTACCTTTTTTGTTTTTTGTCTATTTTCCTTTCCCCATATCCCATTGCCTATCAGGACAGTACTTTTTCTGTTTTGATCACTAATGTGTGAAGGTCCCAGAACAGCACCTGACACAATTGTTGTGATGTGCTGAGATGCCCCAGGCCTGCGGGTGGCCCATTCCAGTGTCTGTCTAGCTCCATGCCAGGGCTCCCAAGGGCTCCATGGATGTGCTCAGTCCCCAATGACAGCCTGTTGGAGCAGCACAGCAGGTCAGCGAAACCAGGCTGAGTCTTTTTTATCTTCCATTAGTTTGCAACCATCACACCTGCTTGGCTCTCCTAAGGGCCGAGACCCACATTCTCCTTCTGCCTCCTTCGCCTCTAGCCTAGTAAATGCTTAGTGAAGCTTTCAGCTGGAGCAATCTCTTACTTCATAGCTGGAAAAGCTGAAGCCCTAGGAAGAGGAAGGGGTGGCAATTATGAACCAAGGTCAGAATTTGGAGCCAATTTCTTTCTCTTAGCTAGGCTTTGCCCACCACAGTGGAGGGTACACATGTGAAACAAAAGACCAATGTGGAAAGCTGGGCCCTGATGTGGTGTTCCAGGCTTACCTCTGCCCCCACCCCAAGCTCAATGATCAACACCAAGCTGCAGAGTCTGCCCACTCACCCCTGTCCACAATGAGGAGGGCAGCCAAGGCCAGGGTAACCACCCCCAGGTGGATAGCCATGCTGATCCTGAGCTGGTGCGGTCTCAGCTAGCCCAGGCCTTGGCAGGAGGAAGAAGGCAGACCTGTTTATAGTTGCCATCCCCACCCTTATCTTATCTGGGACCAGTTGGAGCCCAGAGTGTCACCCCAAGTTAATCCTTGCATCCTGGAGTTGGGAAAGGATTTGCTTAAGGCAGAGATGCTGAGTTGGTGGTGACGTGTGGCTGTGGCTGTGGGCCTGGCAGATTTCCAGAGTGAGTAAAAGTTTAGACAACTTGATTCTAGTCTGAGTGTTGAAGCAAGCAGGGAGAAGTAAAGTGAAGAGAAAAACAGAAAGACCAACGCATGGGGAGGGGATGACAGGGACATAGAGGGAATAGGGGAGGCAAAAACAGAGATGAAAAAAAGTGAATAGATGGTAAAAGGCAGAGAAAAGGACTGGAGACAAGGCTGCCTCCGCCAGTGCCTCCCCCAACCAACTCTGTGACTTCAGAAAGGGTCTCACTATGTAGTCTAGGCTGGCCTCAAACTCATAGCAATCCTTCCTGCCTCGGCCTCTTGAGTGCTGAAGTTACAGATGTGCACCACCATGCCTGGCTTTCAAAAAGTCACTTTCTTAACAAGATCTCAGTTTACCCATACACAAAGTGGATATGATCATTCTGCTCTATCTCCCTTCCAGGGCTGCCATAAAGATATGAGATGAGAGAATATTTTGAGGAGTATGAAATGAGGTGAAGGTAAACAGAACTAATTCTTTACTTTTATTGTTTATTTCAAACAGCTGCACAACTGTGGATACAACTGCAGGCAAAACAAAATAGCATGCCTTTAATAGTATGCTTCATGTGCTTCATGGCCTGGCCCTCCTCCTCCCACCCCCAAACAACACATTGAGAGGAAGATGTCCTTTAGCTTTGCAGATATTATATCTTCCTTTGTATTTTATTTATTTTATTTTTTTTTATTTTATTTATTTTTTTTTTTGTGTGTGTGTGTTTTGTTCCTTGAAGGTCTTCAGGGCACTTTTGCATGGCTGGAGTGTTGTGGGGATCGAACTACAGCAAACCGAGGCTGCCAGCATTGTGGAAGCAGCCACTTAAAGAACTGAGCTAGGGCTGGGCCCCATCTTCCTTTGTATTTTAAAAGGTTAAATATAGATACAGGTCTCTCTCTCTCTCTCTCTCTCTCTCTCTCTCTCTCTCTCTCTCATATGTTTTCTTAGACTGGGTCTTGCTATGTAGTTCAGGCTGACCTTGAACTTATGGCAATCTTCTTGCTTCAGCTTTCCAAGTGCTGGGATTATAGGTGTGAGCCACTATACTCAGCTAGATGTGATTCTTTTTAAGAAACAGCAACATCAACTGGGGAGATAGCTCAGTGGCAGTGGTACCAAAAAGACAAAAAAAAAAAAAAAAAAAAAAAGAAAGAAAGAAAGAAAGAAAGAAAGAAAGAAAGAAAGAGCAACATCTACAACTCCTCCACACCTATATAATTTGTATGAATGATTACTCTCAAAGAACTTCTAAGTTATAAAAAGCATGATAAATTTATATTTACTTATGCTTTTCTGTAATTATTTAGGTGAAAGATTCTCAGCTACAGACCTACAGATTAGATTTCCCAGGGGAGAATATTAAAATTACAAATTCTGGGCTTTACTCTGAAATATTTAAGTTAAAACATCAATGTTGGGCTGGGAGTGTAGCTTAATGGTAGAGGGCTTGCCTAGTCTGAATGGAGCCCTGTGTTTGATCCCCAGTATTGAAAAATACATTTTTTTTTAGATTCATTTTGGAAGATTTCGAGCCTACTGAGAAATTTTAAGAATAGTACAATGAATCAGTGGGAAAATTCTTATTGAAAAACCCCTGTGAGGGCATCAGGCAGTCCCGCAGTACTTTTGCAAACCATCAGAAGCCCCAGATCTGCAGCAGAGCCCAGCCTGAGGATACCAGTAGTTTTTAACTCAGCTTCAAAATTGTCTTTCTGGGGCCAGGGAGATGGCTCAGTAGAATAAGCGCTTGCCTGGCAAGAGCAAGGGCCTGAGATCAATGCCCGGTTCTGCAAAAAATAAAAATAAAAATAAAAAAAATTCCAAAATCGTCTTGCTCCACCTTAGGTACCTATATAGATAGATCTATTGATGTCTCTGAGGCAGGTGGCAGCCACCCTTCCATTGCTAAGCCAGGAAGAGCAAATATTTAATGATTATTTCCTGTCCTAGAACAAGAACACCATCTCATAAAGGGAGGAGGACTTTGACAGCAAGCTAGGTTCAGTCTCCCATCTTCTGCTCCAGCCTTTCTACAGCAGCACCTTTCTACGGCAGCACCATCTGGATGTTATTTATCCTTCAGTGATAGGGACAGCTTCACAGTTGGATGGTTTGGAGCAGAGTCCTTCCACGTGATCTGTTGCCCTGAGACTACTTGGGGTGTGTGTGTGTGTGTCTGTCTGTCTGTCTGTCTGTGTCTGTGTCTGTGTCTGTGTGTCTGTGTCCAGGTTTGTCTCTGGCCTCCTGCACCCACATGCACTCCAGGTGAGCACCACCAGACTGATCAGGGCTGGCCCCTTGCCTGCCTTCTGCCTTTGCACATGATGAAGATTGTGGGCTTCTCTTCATTTCCCATCTGACTCCCTAATGTGTTTTCACCAGTGTCCCAAGTTAGATTGAAAAAGGAATGAAGTAAAGTGAAAGGGTTGTTCACTTCCTTTTTTCGACTTTAGATCTCTGTTGATGTGGCAGGAATTTTGCTAACAAGAGACCAGAAAGCTCAAATTCTGCATCCCTGAACCCTAAAGTATTTTCCTATAAGCAGGCTGGTTTAGGGCTGCGGAGCAGCAGGGGAAGATGGTGTCCGTTGTGCCACAGCGGGCTTGGACCGTGGAGCAGCTGTGCAGTGAACAGCAGCCCAAGGAGGACATAATCAAGTGTCTGCAGGACCACGGTTCAGATTCATTTCTTGCAGAGCATAAATTATTAGGAAACATTAAAAATGTAGCTAAGACAGCTAATAGGGATCATTTGGCTACAGATTATAATCATCTTTTTGAAACTAAGCGTTTCAAAGGTACTGAAAGCATAAGTAAAGTGACTGATCAAGTGAGAAATGTGAAGCTCAATGAAGAAAAGCCCAAGGAAACCAAGTCTGAAGAGACTCAGGATGAGGGTCCACCAAAACACAAAATCTATTCTGAAAAAGGGAAAAAGAGATAAAACCAACTTTCCCAAAAAGGGAGACGTGGTGCACCACTGGTACACAGGAACGCTACAAGATGGGACACTTTTTGATATTAATATTCAAACAAGTCCAAAGAAGAAGAAAAATGCCAAGCCTTTAAGTTTTAAGGTTGGAGTGGGCAAAGATATCAGAGGATGGGATGAGGCACTTTTGACTATGATAAAGGTGAAAAGGCTGGACTGGAGATTGAACCAGAATGGGCATATGGAAAGAAAGGACAGCCTGATGCCAAAATGCTGCCAAATGCAAAATTCATTTTTGAAGTAGAATTAGTGGAAGTAGAATTAGTGGATTGAAACAGCAGGACTTAAGATCTGAAAACATCAGAGTGATTAAAACTTGGCCTTGAAACTTATGTAACTAGAACTTGTTATTGTTGTAAAGAATCAACTGGAAATTTCAAAGAGTTAAGTAAAACTTACTCGATCACATTTTTTGAGAAATGTAATCCCTTATAAATCCCTGAAACCTAAAGTATTTTACTATAGCTGTGTGAAATACTGGTTAAGGAAAACTATTTCCTTTTACCTCATGTTGTGAAACTGAAAAGTTCAATTAAAATATACCCACTGTCTTGAAAAAAAAAAATCAAATTCTGCATTCTTCAAAATAAAACCATAGACAGTGGCTGGGGAGATGGCTCAGTAGAATAAGCGCTTCCTTGGCAAGTGCAAAGGTCTGAGTTCAATCCCCAGTTCTGCCAAAAATAAATAAAATAAATAAATAAATAAAATAAAACCAAAGACAACAGATTTACATCAAGGGCATCCCATGAAGTACTGAACTCACCATCCGATTCTGAAAAAACACTACACTTCTCAAAAGTAAGGTTCACTCATAGTAACAAACTTCCTAATTCATCCTCCCATCAAAGTATGAACCTAACTCCTGGGTCCAACTGCTATTGGACAGTACCTCATGCCAGTGCATCTGAATAAGCCTCACCAAGGCTCACCTTAATTCATAATTCATTTATTCATTCATTCATTCATTCAGGAAGAGTTTAATGAAGCCTGGTGTGGTGGCACATGCCTATAACATCAGCTGAGACAGGAGGATTGCTGTGAGTTCAACGCCAACCTGAGCTATATAGTGAAATCTTGCCTAAAAAAAAAAAAAAAAGAGAGTTTAATAAGCCACTAGTGTCATGTTCCACATTGACAGCCTCACTATGACAATGAATCAGACAGTTTCTGCCTTCAAGGAGCATGTAGTTAAGTGCAGTGAAACAAAATAAGCAGCAAAACTACACTTATTCCCCCTCTGGAATAAGCTTCAGGAGTAAGACATGTTTAGTGAGACACATGAGAAAGAACTGAAAATTTTATCCACCGGGAAAGCTGGAGAAAGCCAAGAGGTGATGGGGTGGGAAAGGCTGTACCTTAGTACAGCAGAGGAAACAAAATTGAGACCCCAAGGCGGGAAGATACTTGTTACCTCTGAGAACAAAGAAGCCAGGAGGGGCAAGGGAAGAGCCGGGGCTGGTCAAGATCAGCCTCTGCTCCCTGGTCCACATCCAAGCAGCTTCATGCAGCAATCTTGGAAACTCCCCCTTTGGCTTTGTCTTCCCCCAAGTGTGTGTAGTTCTGCTTCCTGAATAGCATTTGAAGCCAGCTGCTCTTCCATACTCATCTCTGTGCCCCAGTCCCTGGCTGCTGTTGTCTGGACCTGGCCACCTCTGTGGTGCCCCAGCTCATTGCCACGGTTCCCCACCTGCTACTCCATACCACTTTGCAACTCAGCCACTTTGCAGGCCAAACTCAATTTCTTAAAGGG